ATATATATAAATGATGAGGATAAAATGCATGAGAATAAGAGATGGATTTTAGTGGAAAGTGGGGGACAAGCTTTAAGAAGATATCTCTTAGAATTTAGGAAGAGTACGTGTTATATTATACACAATGTGAACAAGATTCTCTGCTGAAAAAACTCAACATTCGGTGGGACATGAAATTTTATGTGGAATCCGATGCTGTTTCTTCTGCTATGGATGTCAAAAGTTACAAGGAATTGCTGTTGGAATGAAAAGGGGAGGGCAAGGAAATATTTTTAGCTTGAATTATAGAAAGGAAAAATTTAAGAGGGTGGCATCTAGAAAGACAAAACACAAAGTATACATGGATAACGGAAACAAAGATGTAGATGTATAAGAAAAATATTTAACAAATACTCATTTGCTTCTCTTTTTTTTTTAATACATAATCTCATTTTTACCTATTTTCTGCTTATTATTATCTTTTTATTTCGTTATATCATTCATTAAATATATTATTTTTAAGTTGTCTAACTTTTATTTTAATACATGAAAATAGGAGATAAAAAATAACACTTTATGATTAAGAGTCATAATAAAAAATCACCTCAAATTCTCTAACTTATTTGAAGTAAAAATAAAATTAAAAGATAAGTTGTAAAATTAAGAAAATTGTACCAATTATCTCAAAATATATTATAATTAAATTTTTAATTCTATTTTATTTAGGATAAGTTAGATAATTCATTATTTTTTTCTTTCTATTTTCTTCTATCTTTTTCTTCTTTTCACCATCTCATTTTGGGTGGAGGTTTATCATTACTAATTTATATCGATTTGATTTACAATGTGAATTGTGTGTAGACATATATGACAAAGAAATATATAAATTTATAATTAAATACTTATAAATTTAATAATTTAATCATTAAATTAAAAATTTAAAATGAAAAGATTTTATTAAATCTAAAAAATTTATGATATTTTCTTATATAAATTAAAATTAACGTATAATATATTTTTATAAATATATGTTAATTTGAATTAATGAAATAAAATATCGAATAATTTTCAAATTTTGTACCAGTTTGTTACATTTTAGAGAGCGTATAATATGAAAATGTCATTTTTTTTGTGAAAATAAAAATAAGTAATCTCAATCGTTAAATTAAATAAATAATTTAGATTAAAAGATTAAAAATTAAATTATCATATATTACTATCATTATAATTTTCTCTATCATTATTTTCATTATTATCATCTTCGCATATGTCTCTACTATCATCACAATTATCATCGTTAATATGTAATTCTCCCTTCCCCTCCCTCTCCACTCATACCATTATGATGAGAACTTTTTTTAATGATTTTACCAAATGCATTTTCAAATAAATATTATAATATACTCTTTCTCATACTATTATGATGAGAACTTTTTTTAATGATTTTACCAAATGCATTTTCAAATAAATATTACAATATACTCTTTCTGTCTCAAAATAGGTGTTATCCTAAGTTATATATATATGTATACATATATATATCAAGAAAAACTAATAAATAAATTAAGGATAATATTTTGTTATTATATATAAGACTTAATTGTTTAATTCACCAAGATTAAGAAAAATAGTTAATTTAGTTAAATACAATAAATGTATCGTATTTGTATTTTTTTTTCTTCTAAAATTACCTTTATACTACCTATCTTTCCTAATTAATACTTAATCTTTTAGCCAATTAGAATGCACACTTTATATTTAATGTATTTCATCAAATTAAGAGAATATACTTTAATAAAAGATATTTCAGTTTAAAAATAATTAATATATAAGACAATATAAAATGGATCTTATATAAAATAATAAACAATTATTTAAGTTGGATTTTTTAAATAAAAACAGAGACACTAGTATACAAAATTAATCTTATATTAATCCTTTTTAAAAAAAATAAAATAACCATTTAAAAAAAATATAATTAATACTATATTAAAAAGGTAATATGACCCACTCACTGATGATTGTTAGGTCAACTACTTTAACCCCTTCTTTTAGGTGGGTCGATACAACATTTTCAATCTATCAACTTGTTTTGCCTCACCAAAGAGTAACTTTTTTAATGTTGCGTTCAGTAGAAATGAAAAAAAAATAATAATAAAGGAAAAAAAACACAAGAAAAAAAGTTAAAAAAAAGGTGAAATTTAAATTATTCAGTAGAAGAAAAGTGAGTAGAAGATAATTTGTTTAATTAATTAATATTGAATTAAATTAATAAATTTTGGCATGTTAAATATTTTAATCATTTTTTATTATTGTTGTATTTTTATTTTTATTTATCTAAAAAATTATATAAATTTATATAATTATATTTCTTATCTATACTTATTATAAAAGAGATGTTAATGTGTAACTATTTTTTATTTATACTTTTTTAGTAAATTATCATATTTTTTAAATATTAAAAATAATTTCTCATATTCTTTCTAAATAATCATTCACAATTATCTATTTTATTAATTTTTTTAAGTTTTAACGACAGAAAATATCTTTTTTTCTTAATAATATATATAAACATAATCAATTTTTTGTCATAAATATAAACGAAGAGCATGATGATGAATAGTTTACTTAGGCGCACATCTTCTCTCTTTTGCACATTACAACTCCCATTTCTTTTTCTATCGCATCAATCACAACTCTTTCACTCTCAATGTTAGTGAGATATGTAAGGCTGACTCAAGTT